CAGTGAAGCCAATCTGGAGAAACACATGAACATTCATGACGGAAACAAACCTTACAGCTGCAAGACGTGTAAAAAGTCCTATCAGGTAAGAACAACACACTTCGTTGTGGTTGATTATTTGATGAGTATATAGAATTATGTTTTAATTTTATAATAATATTTTTTTTTTAATATTTGTATAATCTAATATAAAATATATCATTATATTATTATTTCAATTATATGTGTAGTTATTAAATATTTGTATGCATTTATTTTAAATATATAAGATAAAATATAAAATAAACATAAAAATGTAATGATTTTACATGTGTTTCTGTTTCAGACGCTCTCTGGTCTGTGGTACCACAATCGTACGGCTCACCCTGAGAGCGCCTCTGCCCAGGGCAACAAAGCCATCAAATCTCTGCTGCAGTGTGACAAGTGTGACAAGACATTTAGCAACCGAAATAGTCTGTTAAAACACCAGATAACCAATCACAAAGGTAAGGAGTGACCACTGATCCTAGAAAGTTATTACCACTGTTACTGTTAGTTACATTTACTGTGTACTAGTGTATGTGTGTGTTTGTTGTTCAGAAGTGCACTTGTGGAAGTGTGTGAACTGTGACATCACTATGACGAGCAAGCAGGAGCTACAGCAGCACATATGCAGCGGTCAGGCGAGTCAGACCGGCTCTGTGTTCAGCTGTATGGTCTGCTCTCTCCACTTCACCTCAGAGCCTGAGTTCCAGCAGCACTTCCTGTCCAAACATCTGCAGGTCATGCAAGAGGAAGCACAGACACAGGCCTCCAGTGCTCAAACGGTGATGCCCCGACCTCTCATAATGTCCCAAATCAAAAAATCTCTCATATTCAAACATTTAAAGGGATAGTTTACCCAAAAATGAAATCTCTGTCATTAATTACTCATTCTCATGTCGTTCCAAACCTGTAAGACCTCCGTTCATCTTCGGAACACAAATGAAGATATTTTTGATGAAATCCGAGAGCTCTCTGACCCTCCATAGACAGCAACACAACTACCACGTTCAAGGCCCAGAAAATTAGTAAGGACATTGTTAAAATGCATCCTGGTACTCTCATGAACACGCGTCGAAGAATGACACGGAAGAGAAGAAATTGTTGAATAAAGTCGCTATTTTCGTTTTCTTCTAAAGTCGCTATTTTTGTTGTTTTCACAAAAAGTATTCTCGTAGCTTCATAACGTTACAGTTGAACCACTGATGTCACATGCACTATTTTAATTATGTCCTTACAACCTTTCTGTGCCTTGAACGTGTCAGTTGCGTTACTTTCTATGTTGGGTCAGAAAGCTCTCGGATTTCATCAAAAATATCTTAATTCGTGTCTCGAAGATGAATGAAGGTCTTACGGGTTTGGAACGACATGAGGGTGAGTAATTAATGACAGAACTTTCATTTTTGCGTGAACTATCTCTTTAATATATTAATTAATATGAAGATCATACTGTTATCCATGAATTCCATCTGTTTTACTTAATGATTAAATTATTTCACTACAATAATAATTATAATATACACTATAATTTTTCATGGTTTTATTAGTATTATTGATGTATAATTATTATTATTAATAAAATAAATGAAAAAGTGTTTTCATTAGCACATAAATGTTTACTATTATATCAAAATTGGTATAAATGATCATGAAATTTCACTGGTATCGTTTACGGAAATGTTGTGAAAACACTATCTTCAATATATCTATTAAACAAAACATGCCAATAATTAATAATGATTTAATCATAAATTATTTATTTTAGAAAACGGCTTCCCTATCAACAAACAAGGTATTTGTGACTCTTTCCAGGTGATGCAGTGTGAGGATGCAGAGCAAGTGATTAGCATCGACCAATCCCAGATTGAAGGGTCACCGCAGCTGTTTGTGGCTCTGGGTGATCAGCAGGAAGCAGCCAGCGGTGCTGGAATCGTGGCTGTGAGTATGGAAGATCTGCTGAACGGCACCGTCACGCTCATCTGTGAAGAGGGCCAGTGAACTCTGGGCCACATGGCTTTATGATCATGACTTTTCTTTGAAACCGAGTGCTGATGTTTCTTTTACATGGGATTACACATGGTACTAAAGGACTTCAGCCCTTGTGATTTTACCAATCATGTTAGAGTTTTTTTTTTTTTTTTTTCAAGAATGAATATGATTTTTAATGAACACAGGCTTTAGTCTCTGGATCACTTGATTTGTTTTTCCCTCTTGGAAGAGTGTTTTCAGGCTTAGCGTACACAAGCATGCAAAATCCATGTTAAAAATAGTGCAAGATGACGTCAGTCTCTTCAGTGCAGTCTGAATCTCTTTTCATTGTGTTTCATTATGAACTATTTATTTATTAAAAGTGTTCAGACAAGCACAAACGGATTTTAAATGAGAAAAGTCACTTGAATTTGTTTCCAACACATTTTCTACCTCTGATCAAGCTTCACGTACAGAGATCATTTTTGTTTCTGGCATGCTTTATGATTGTTTTTCTGCTAAAAATAACTTGTATAAAATATTTTGTGACCATTAACTTTTCTGTGTTTGATTTAACTTTTAATTTCTACAATGTGATGAATGCAATTTTAAATAGAGATGAGAAAGTTTGTCTGAGGAAAAAATGTACTTTGTATAAGTATAAATGGCAAATATTATTAAAAGTATGACTTTATAAGCAGGTAAAAAATTACAAGTCTTTTTGTAAATTATCAATTTATTTTACAGAAATTCACAAAGCATTGATTAAAAACAATCATTTACTGTTCATATGAAATACAACACCAACCCTCAAATACTTCTCATACAGTAAGGTTTATAGCATAAAATAGTCAAAAATATATATAGTTTTTAGTTAATATGCCAGTAATTCGTAGACAACCCTGAGTCATTGTTTTTTTTTTACATTCATAAGAGTGTAGCTTTTAAATCTTAAAATCTGACCACATTGTGCAGTTACACAAAAAATATCTGTACACTCAATAGAAACTTTTGATGTTGAATCAATACATTAAACATTCTGGATTAAACTGCAATTCATCGCGATTCAGTCAGAGTCCACTGCACCTAAACATTATAACAGTTGACTTAGTATTCAGTACAAAAATAATACAGGCATAAATAAACACAAGACACAAACAAGTCATTTCTAGTTATCATGTGCCACATAATGCAAAGAACTATGCTGGTTCTGACTTTACAAATAAATCTTTAAAGCAACAGGTGCGCACATTAATTTACTTATTTTACTGTCCAGACTCAATATGCACAATACAACAATATCGAAATAAATCAAAGTTTACTGAAAATGTACTCCTCCTCAGGTGATCCAAGATGTAGACGAGTTTGTTTCTTGTGGATTATTGTGATGTTTTTATCAGCTGTTTGAACTTGCATTCTGACGGCACCCATTCACTGCATTGGTGAGAAAGTGATGTAATGCAAAATTTCTCCAAATCTGTTCTGATGAAGAATCAAATTTATCTACATCTCGGATGGCCTGTGGGTGAATATATTTCTAGCAAATTTTCATTTTTGGATGAACGACTACTGTAAAAATACACACACACAAGCTGGTTATCAGCCGTAATAAAAATAAATGTGGGGTATGACAAATTTCTCCTTGCATTCCTAGTCCAGACAAAGAAAAAAACTTTCAAAATAACTAATTTTTATGTCATGTTGTTTATGTCGGTATCGTACAGACAGTTATATGGATGAAGGCACACAATCAAATACTGCAACATAAACAAACAGAACTACAGCACTCTAAAATAATGCAAAACTCAAACAGACAGTGTTGAAAGAAGAGAAGAACGTGACTGATACATATGACATTTCCAAGCTTGCTATAATACAATAAGCATATTCTTGCAATGCAAATGTTCATTTTCCCAGAGTGCCGCAAGGCTCCCTATTCAGCAGTGCATAGTAACATAACACCAAAAAACAGCTCTCAATTCATCACATAAAATGTGTCCTGTGCAAAGCACAGCCAGTTGCTTGTATTAAGTTTAAAAATATATGAATATAGAATTACTCATTTTACAATGTATCAAGCATGTCCTAGAAAACAGAATATCAGTAGTCATCTTACTTAAATGTGCACTTAGGGTGAATTAATTCGATAGTGAGCATCAGTACACCAGACTCACTATGAACATCAAACATTCTTTGTGTTTTTAACCAAAATTATGTAAATACTGAAAATATGCAAAATGCAACTATATTTTCAGTGCATAGTCTTTGGGAACAAGAGCAACTGAAAAATAAAATCCCAGGTAGAATCTAAAATAAATTACCTGAGGTTTCACAATAAATCACAAGGACTCGCTGGATCATGTAATCATTAACAGCATATTCACTTCCTTAAAGTGACTACATACACTTCACTAACGGCCTTAAAGGGATAGTTCACCCAAAAATGAAAATTCTGTCATTAATTACTCACCCATTACTCACGGGATTCCAAACCCGTAAGACCTTCGTTCATCTTCTGAACACAAATTAAGATATTTTTGATGAAATCTAAGAGCTTTCTGACCCTGTATAGACAGCAATGCAACTGAAATGTTCCCAGGCCCAGAAAGTCGTTTAATAAAGTTGTTATTTTTGTTTTCTCTGTGCACAAAAAGTAATCTTGCAGCTTCGTAAAATTAAGGTTGAACCACTGATGTCACATGGACTGTTTTACCGTACTACCTTTCTGGGTCGGGGAATATTTCAGTTACATTGCTGTCAGAAAACTTTCGGATTTCATCAAAAATATCTTAATTAACATTCTGAACATGAACGAAGGTCTTACGGGTTTGGAACGACATGAGGGTGAGTAATTAATGACAGAATTTTCATTTTTGGGTGAACTATCCCTTTAAATTTCTCACTTTCGTTGGAAAGACTCTATGATCACTCCTCTTACCGAAAGTGTACTTCAAGGGCACAAAAATGCTGTCTGGGCTGCATCAGAAATCGCATAGTCACTGAGGTGGTGCTTTTTTTTCCAATACGTAATTACTTCCCTACTATATAGTATGCAAAAACAGTACGCCAAAAGATGTAGTACCTACTCAAACAGTAAGCGATTTCAGATAGACCACTGGACTTTTTGCTGGCTCTGATTTGTTCTCTTAAAATACAACAGTGCTCTTGGACTTTATACGGACACCTACTGGCCTGGATGAAGGTTTAGTGTTTACCATTTTATGTAGAAATTAGTATTTCTATCTCTACCTTTACAAGGCTGCAAGTACACATAAAGTGTGCCATTTGGGGCAGAGCCAAAATGTTATGTGAGTGCACATCATTTAAAATATCAAAATGTGTTGTTTTTTATGTCATCACAGAGTAGGGCTGCTTCTAAAGCCTACTATAGTCCAGATAAATAGGCTCTAATTCGAGGCTTCAGTTTTCAGCTAGTAATCTTCTTTTTGGGCAGGAAGGCACTAGTGATTTGGTTCATCACCACTAAGGCAGGAAAAAGTGGGAGGAGTAGGAATATATACCAGACTGTGCCTGTCACCGATGCTTGAAACCAGTCTGTAAACATGGCTGACATGACAGTGACGGAGGCCAGCAGGTAGGCCACCAGACCACAGGTGGCATGATACAGTCTCAACCGAGGAAACGAGCGAGTGCTGATGAGTTTGGGGAAGAGAAGAAAGACGCCACAGATCGCCTGCAGCATGGTAGCAGCCATCGTAGCGACTCCCAGCAGGCTGTGCCAGGAAGTGAAGTGAGGATGCTCCTTTATGTTTTTGCTGGCCACCATGAAGCCGAATCCTGTAGCTCCACACACCAGCAGCAGAGCCTGGAGGAACCAGTGCAGACGGACCTTCCACTTACGTGATTTGAAGCAGAACGGGCTGCCCTCGGCGGAGAAAAGCAGGATCCCTTCTGTCATACACAGACAAAACTAAAACAGAAGAGAGAAATAGTTAAGCTTTCATGAGGACCCTTAAAGGTAAAGCACATAGATACTTTAGTATACAGGATGTATACTTTGTTCCAAAAGTTGGGATGGATTTTTAAATGGTTGTGAAAAAGTCTCTTAGGGGCCGTTCACACAGAGCGCATCATCTTCATGTCTAAAAACGTGAGATGCGGGGCTCAGGAATGGTTTTTAAAAGCCTCTTCTTCCATGTTGCTGTCAACAAAACAATTGCCAAGCTAAATTGCTACTGTAAAAAAAATGCTTGTCCCACCTCCAGGGTCCTCTGATTTCATGAGGACCCTTAAAGGTAAAGCACATAGATACTTTAGTATACAGGATGTATACTTTGTTCCAAAAGTTGGGATGGATTTTTAAATGGTTGTGAAAAAGTCTCTTAGGGGCCGTTCACACAGAGCGCATCATCTTCATGTCTAAAAACGTGAGATGCGGGGCTCAGGAATGGTTTTTAAAAGCCTCTTCTTCCAATTTTGCTGTCAACAAAACAATTGCCAAGCTAAATTGCTACTGTAAAAAAAATGCTTGTCCCGCCTCCAGGGTCCTCTGATTGGTCCATTGTTTTGGAGCTTACATTAATAAGCATGATGAGCGTGTAAAAGTTGAAATTCTTTCAAATGCAGCACTCGTGTATGAAACACTGCAAAAGATGCGGGCGCAACGGTCATTAACGTCTGTATAGAGAGTGATTACATAGAAAAACAATGGAAAAGTAGTGCATTGGAATGGAGAAATGCGTTCTGTGGGAACAGCCCCTTACTCTAGTCTTTAATATCACATTATCCTTCAGAAATCATTCTAAAGCTGATTTGTTGCTCAAGAAACATTTCTTATTATCAATGTTAAAAACAGTTTGGGCTGATAAAATACTTTTGTGGAAACTGATGCAATTTTTCAGGCTTCTTTTATAAATAGAAAGCACAAAAAAATGTTTATTTAAAACTGAATCTTTAACAAAAAAGAAGTCTTACTGAAAAAAACTAACCTGACTATTTGCTATACTGTACATGGGTCAAAATCTGAGACTGACCTCTGTCAGGTCATGTCACATTATTAGTACAGAATGTGTTATCTTTGTCATCAAGGTGAATGTAATCAGATTCCCACGGGGAAGCAGCTAATTCCATTGGCTTTGTGTTTCACCACACTCATTCATTATTTACAAAAGACATATTTTATTCATTCCCTGAGAGGCTGAACATCACTGAGACACAATGCATTATTAAACCTCCAGGACTGATTATATAAATATATATATATATATATATATATATATATATATAAATAATATTATCCTTTTATCAATCTATGCCTGAAAACATGATACACTGTAGAATATTTTATTGTGTATTTGAATGTATAAAAATTTACCCCAAGTGACATGCAGACAGGATGCCATGAGAACAGACCTGAAATTAATAAACACAGGAGTTAAAGTAAAATAGAGTTTGTTAATATTTGGAAGTGCTTCATATTAATTTTCATTTTATTACCAAAAAATATATGCGTATTGTCATTAGTTTATGGTCATATTACAGAATTACCGTGGTACAAGTCCAAAAAGCATAGTAATACCATGGTTCTTTTTCTACTTTCAAATTGAAACATCAAAATACTGTTACTTCCAAAACATGGTACTACCATGGTAACATCTACAAACCACTGTATTTCTTGTTTTGTTGTAGAAATGGATACATTTGGAGTAGAAATGACAAGGCCTTTTCACTTCTATACTCAGACATATTCATAAATCAACGGAAGCCCATATTTAATATTAATATGTCAGTTATTGTATGTGTTTCCGTTTTATGTTATAAATACATATAAAGTATTACCAATACATTTTAACACCATAAATTGTCATAGTACGTTACTATCATATTTTTGGACATGTACTATGGTATTTTTAAGTAACGTTACCATGAATTTCCAAGACATTACCGTCTGATACCATGGTACTGCCACAGCACTTTTTGTAAATGAAAGAGCTGATGTACAGAAGCGCAGTGACTCACTTGTTCCCGGTCTGGACAGTATGGATGTGAGAATGACCAGGCCCAGTGAGATGATGTGCGCCGCGAGCACAGCGGCTCTGCGCAGCCACACATAGAGGCAGAAGTCCCGCATCCCGAGCCCCTCTCCACCCGCCGCGCTGTACTCCACATCCGAGGACCCTCTCGCCATTCCTGAGGATTCGTTCGCAGCTCAGACTTTTACATGCACGCCTAAACCACACAATAGAAATACATCTTAAGTGTCATTCTTACTGAGCTTTACAAAACCTGATTTTTAGATCTGAAACGCATAATATTTTAACTCGTGAACTATCTGGGTAAAATGAAACATGCGTTAGCTAGGTTGTTATTCCTGTTGGGTGCCATTTTCGTGTTTGTGACAGCGAGACTTGCACTTCCTGGATTGGAGTCCTACTACAGTAAAGGCACGTTTCTTAATATTCAGGAGCCATGCAGTTGCGATTGGAAGATTACCAAGAAACGCGAATACGTGACATTAATATTCAACAGTCAAGCGTTCGCTATTGGTGCGCAGCGAAGGAACGTCAGCATATCCTTTCTTAATATTCAAAATGAACATGATACGTAACTGTAAGCTACTTAATTATTCATGAGCTAAACTTCTGCCGGTGTAGTTACGCATGCGCAGGGAGACATCTAATGACGAACAGGTGATCCGTTTTCACACACAAAAACAAATTTTGCCAATTTTGTAGACTTGGCGATGGGTGCTCTTAGTCTTTAGTTCTACGACAAACGGATTTCCAGTATTTTTCCATGATTATTGAATAGGGATATTTTTTAATTATTGTTTTATAGAGATTACGGTCAAAAAGAGCTCAAACATCACTACAAAATATAACGACAAAAAAAATTAGACTATAGATGAATATAAATTTAAGACAATGAGTGAAAAAAAAAAGTGTTTTCTTTCCAAAATGTTATACTTTTTTTGAATCACTGTAATAAGACTGGAAGTCGATGATAATGGAAATAAGAAGTCACAATGACAGGTTTCATCAAATTCACCCATTTACCAATTTTTTAAAAAGAATGAATAAATGAATGAATAAAGACAGTGCTGAGTATAAAGAATATTTTAATCCATTTTATAAACAACATTTACGTAGCAGCATTATTCAGTAGATTCCGAGGTATTTTCTGAATT